ACTTTGCATAATCAGACTGAGGTGTGAGGCCGGCAAGAAGACTATGATCTTTCCCCTCGCCATCATTGCAGGCTGACGCTAAGTCTAGGCCGGGGATTTTATAGAATGAAGGAGACGAGCAGAATTTATCGTTCTAAACTCACTGGTCGGTCTATTCTTGACTCCTGGAATTTCACTCCAAATCCCGCATTTCTCTTATCGTGGATCCCGTCTCGGCGATCGGATCAGCGTCTGGGATCTTGACCTTTGTTGAAGCGGGTCTCAAGCTCGTAAAAATAGCTTACAGCATACACAACTCGATTGACTCTCGAGCGAGTCATTGTTGGATATTGCTAAGAAGTGGAGAAGAACTTTAACGGAATTAGTCAGAGCTTTGAATGAAGTTAGACCAAAGCAAATTTCGCCTTGTCCCTTCAGATCTCTACAACCTGCCGTCAAGGCGAATGCCAAGGCTGAAGACATCGAAGGCCTGGAGAGCCAATTAAAAGACTACCACAAGACTCATTAACGTCAATCTTCCATATCACCTGAAACTCGGGATCTAGAAAATCAACAATAATAAATTTCATACGTTCTCATCACAAAAGAAAGACCAACTGACTAAATGGATTGGAAACGATTAACACTCGTACAAAATATGTTTAGCTAACTCGTTTGAAAGGTGCAAAGAAGTTTGCTTCCATTTCATTCTTCTTTTGGAAGAATAGATCGAGAGCGCAGAAGTCATTAGACGGACTCTGCCGCTCAATGCTTCACGAACGTATCACAAGAGCGGCCTGATCTCATACCTGGAGTTTCACCTGTCCAGTGGGGTCGAGTGAAACATGCTTCCTCCAAGGTTGAGAACCAGCAACAAATCCCATTGTCTGCCATTAATAACCCTCTAGAGACACGTTTTAGGTACGCGGAAGTTTTCTAGCACCACAGATTCTGTATTTCCATTAATGGTCTCGACGGGGTTGAGCCTGGCGTTCAAGGTAGAATGGACTACATTGACTCACTCAATGTCCTTTGACGATAGATGATTCAAGCAGATGGGAACCTAAATCTTCGCCTCTTAAGTAGAGACGATGGTGTCTTCATGGATGACCATGAAAGTGACCCTGGATTACCTAGGATATGGGAATTATTTTAATGATAGCAGCTTCTTTAACTTTACGCCTTAGCATAAAGCCTAGTAGGACTAATATTATATAGCTAGTTAGTAGAGATTTATCCACATTCCACATTCACAACAAGAGCATCATACAAAGAAAATACAATCCCAAGCTACATAGCCAAGGGCATATATAATATATAGAACACAAAGTTCTTTGCTATAACCTGGATGCTTATTTTCCTGATATTGCATTGTACAGACTTTAACATAAGAGTTACTTCATATTCCATCACGCTAACCACTCTTAGTTGTGTTCTGAGTAAATGTCAGCATCCAATTAATAGATTTAATATGCGAATAACGGTGAGACTCACGAATAGTCCAGGTAACACGAGCGTCATTGCCACTACCGCCCTCACGCTTGATACTATAGCCAGCGGGCGCGCTCTCACTGTACCCGTTGGAACCACTAAAAGGGTTGTCGAAATTAAACTTGAAATCACCAGCGGAACTGCCGTATTTCGCCCACCCCTGGTCACCGGTCATGACCCCAGCGGACTCGGCTTGGAAAGTCTTCTTGTCATTAGCGGGGATAGTGTTGGCAGTATCGGAAGGGCCAAAGTTCAGAGTCCATTGGCCATGGTCGCACCCGCTACCGGTAAGATTCAGCGTGAGCGAAGTGTTGTTGACGATGGTGCAATGGGTAGAGCGAGATGGAGCCATAATGAAGTGATTTTGCTAAACGAAGTAGTGTATGAGAGTAGATAATTATGCTGTGATGGTAGAGTGAGTTGGAAAGAAAATGATGAGGAGAAAGGGGGATGCAGGCCCTATTTATGCATTTCTCCTTCTTTCTTCTTTACATAATGATAACAACATACCTAAGTCTAAGCATCTATGGAGGCGGAAATTTCAACGAATGATGCTGAGTTCCATGGAGGCATCATGAGATCAGTTTATCCAGTTGGCAAAGCTCAGCTCGGTTGGTGCGCTGTGGCTAAGCAAATTCTATCCCAATTAGCCCATCTTTGACTCTCACTATGGGTCACTATAGAGCGTCCTGTGCTATTCAGCTCGCCACAAGCTTAAACACTAGTACAATATTATATGTGGCAGAAACGCATGAAGCTAACATAACCATGAGACATGGCGCTACTGGAATGTCAAGGCCATCGAAACGCTTTCTAATACCATTAGAGTATTGCCAGCTCGCCAAATACCCATATGCTAACCTGAAAGAATTTTCCTCTCATATTGACAAGCTGGAAGCATCTCCCGGCTGTTCCAAGTTAGATCAAGCCAAAAGAGGGATAAGTCCACACTGAAGTAGGGCATGACTGACAGTGGGGCTAAGTCAAAACTAACGTTAGATGGTAAGAGCCGGGCCAGAGCTGCAATTCTCAGTTGCCGTTAGAGTAGCCCCATCTATCTGTTATCTGTTTTTGATTTTTTATCTACGGCATCTTGGTTTTATTTTCAGGATAGTTACTTAAAAGGCGGATGTGCCTATGAATGTTGCAGTAATTCCCCACCTTTAGACCAGTCTAGACAACCAGAGTCAAATAGTTTCGGCGATAGCTTAATGCAGCCAGATCACACATGATCCTCTCAAATAGGTCATAGCGCAATCTTGGCGAAGACAAATGCTTAAAACGTTCTTCCGGCGGGTTGCAGGGCAAGTGCCTCAGCCAGCCACAATAAACAAATGTCTCAAATCTCATGGTTTCCATCACGTTTCCTTTCACCGGCTATTGGGTGCCTCTTTACTTCTAACATCCCAGCCAAGTCAAGATTGGGCCTTGACTTTAGGGAAAGTCCTCACTTGAAGGCACTGGTGGGCAAATAGCGATGAAAATACCGATGACTTTGTAAATCTCGCTATCAGACCAGGTCTCAACTGCCCATGCCACTTGGTGCAGGTTAGGTGTAGTAGATTGAACGCGAAGAGGCATATCCTAATTCAAGAGCTAGGAGCCCATAAATACAGAAGGACTGCAGATAAATGTGTTTTAAAGGCAGAGAAGAGGTTTGGTAGCCTCCAAATCGGAATGGTGGCTGAGACTCAACTCTGTAGCTGTATGATCCGACATTCTCAATAGCGCCCATGCGAAAGTTGGGATCTTGAATTGGAACTCTCAGCAGTAAGACACTGTCGTTGCGGAAATTCTGTTTTTCCATGTTCCTACTCTAACGGTAAAGCGATCGGTGTTGAGAAAGGGACCTATGTAGCTACTATTAGTGACCTTTGTATGCCAAGAGGGTGCCCGAAGGTGTGTGCTTGCTGTTCTCTATTGCTCCGATGAAGATAACTCTTTTGTCCAGGCCACAGATGAGCCATCGAGAATAAGATTGGACGGATATGGGCAAACCATGATGCAGCCAGAATCGTGATCCGCGTCGATCTCGTTGGCGGGGTATGGATTATTCAAAATATTATAATCCACCAGCTATTAGGCCTATCGACTTATAATAATAATACTTATGTAGAGAACTTTAGATTTATTTTCTAAGGCATAAAAGGACTGCTTCAGTATCAATTATGTGATTCAAAAGTCCTAAACGATGCAGATGCTTTAGATAACTCGGCCAAAAAAAGACTTACTTGGTCACTCTCTTCTCGTCTCGAAGAATTGGGAGATATTCGTTGAGCGAAGTCTCTTTAGAGTGAATTCGGAATGCCCCTAATTACATCTACGATGAGGTCAGAATGGCGCAACGAGAACTAGGTTGTTCCGGACCAAATTCCCTTGCCTAGGCAAATCTTCTTGGCCTGTATTCTTTCAACTTTGAATGGCATTTAGGCTACTTTATGTACCCTGGAAACAAGGAGCTGCCCATGTTGCTGCATCCTGGCTACATGTAAAGTAACCAGAGTATTGATGACAATGTATTTTCGAGATTTGAAGACTTTTCATGTTATCCCATAGGAATAAATGAATCTGTTTCTCGATTTTGGTGTAGCAGAGCTCGTTGCAACATGCTTGAAATTGAGAGGAATGCCCCCAGTCAACTGGAACAGAACAGTTCCCATTTTAGGAATGAATTACATTTACCGACTGGTCTAATAGGCACAATTTATTCGTTTTTCTGGACTGCAACTGCGAGCAATTGGTAGGCAGAGTCTTAACCTCAGACCAAATCAGTTTCCTGAAACGCCTCGCAATGTTCGCCGCGTTTTGGGATGCTGGAAATGCTCCCATTGCTTCTTCGGCCCTTTTCTGGAAAGCCCGTAGCACTGAGTGTAGCACTGACGGAGAATGTTGAAATTTGACCCCGTACTACGAGACAATTGTCGTACCTCTCCCCAATATATTGCATACGTGTCTTTCCCGTCGTCTTCTTGTGTGATCTACAAACAAAGAGGTTGGCTGAACTCCTCAGATCCTGCCGTCCTCATGCCCAATCATAGGTAATCTTCCGAAACTGGCGTAAAGTGATCGACACTTGGATGGAGCTAAGACTGGCACTTACCAGCTCGAGGCGGTGGCTCCAAGCGCCATGTTGTGGGGTACCGCAGATCTTGTCTTGTATGCCGTCCCATATTGACGATCCTTACGTCAATATTGCTCAGGCTCGCTCACGCCAAACGAATGGATGGAAACACCGAATAGGGTTTTCCACTATTTCAGCTCGTTCAGCTCAAGCCTCTTCGGGAATCGTCTGACCAACGAGGAACGAGAAGCGAAGACAATGACATGTACGATCATCGGTGTAGCCCATTAGCCCATCTAGCCCAGTTTCTGGCTCCCGGTGTTGATCTCGGGCCGCGCTTTGGGCGTCGTCGAAAGTTGACAGCCATAAGTCGATTAGTGCTCACGCGAGCAAATACTTTACTTGACGCTATGCCCATCTTATCTTGAGCTTGGACACCATTTTGTGTTTCTTTACATCACCAGCTACTATGAGATACAACAACTTCATCAAGCCAAGCCTACCAAATAATGATAGGTGCCTTTATTATGATAGTCCTCTTTCGAAATGGCAACTTGGCTCCCTAGATCCACTCTCGCCAATATATGCAAGGTCTCGAAGTGAGCGAGCCAGAGCACCAACACCCATTGAGCATAACGGCCATGTATATGACCTGGTTGGTGTGAACTCTCACCAACAACTCATTTTACGAGATCAATGTGCTTTACACTTGGACATTCGCATCGAATGTTTCGCTGGACGTGCCGCCATCTTGGACGGCGTGACGTGGCAAGTCGATTACCTTGAGGCTATTCCCGATCCCCTTGACTTCACCAAACCTCCCCGGCGTGTCCTTCATCTCAAGCGGTGGACGGGAAAGGGTCAGATTCAGAAAGCCATTGATGAACCAGACAATCTTCGGGCAATCTTTCCAGGCTCAAGAGGGAAACATACGTTGGGCCCGATTAAGCATGGCATTGTACGCATGATCCCAACCGCATCCCGACAGCGAATTCACAAGCCATTGCTTGCTGGGACAACTTTCGAAGCTCGGTTACGAGGTCGTGAGCTTTATGGCCCGTTCCAGATCGAGGTTAAGAAAGAAGGCCAACTGGTAGCCAAGCACGCTCTAGACGGATTGTGTCTTATTAAATTCGCCATTGAGCCCCATGAGATCGCGCCGTCATATGTGAGGGTCAATTGTCCCGACTTTGGTGGTTGCTTCGACATTGATGCTTTTCTTTACTGCGAGGATAAGCTTCGATGTCGGGCAACCAGTGTTAAAGCTATCAAAGCGATGAGATTGCCCACAAGCGATCGTGATCTCATGTTTGGTACGCTACCACGAGGCCCAGTACCGCTTCTCACAAATGGCCTGGATCACCTTGTCGTCTTTGAGAAGTTTATCCGAGAGTGCACAGTCCCTTGTCCAAAGACCCCTCGGCAACGGCGATTGACAATATTGAATCTCTCAATGTGCGATCAAGGCGATGCCAAGATTGTAGTCGACGCGCTGGTTGAATTTCGAAAGTACAATCCAGATGCGATCATGTCTATCGTGGTTTCAAAATTGGGGCCTACGATTTATCAGGATACGCCAGCTTGCAGGGAGTATGTCAGGCTTCTTGAGTGCAATCGAATTCACATCGATATGTTCACTGGCGTTGATGGTCCAACGCGCCAAGTCGTGCACGCCAAAGCGATAGTCATCGACGACAGGACACTCTTCAGCACCGGAGCCATCGTAGATACCAAGCCAATTGACAAGGCCGACTTTTCCATCGAGCTTCCGCCCACGGCAGCAAAAGCTTTTCAGATCTACATGCAAGAAGCCATCCTCGGTGGCGTGAGCAATGAACGTCGGGCTCATCTTGGATCACAGCTCGCTAGTCTGGGCGTTATAATAAACGACCCCATCGCGAGTCTGACCTACATTAGTCGCGCGCAACATACACTACTGCGCGGTGCTCGTCGCGATCTTCTCGTGAGCGTTTCAGAACTTGTTGATCCAAAAATCACGAAACTCTTGGTGAGACGCGCAGCCAACGGCGTGATGGTAACGATACAAGTCCGTGAAATAGACGCGGCGTCATCAAGAATTCTTGCCCAAGCGATGCGGCGCTACGGCAAGCGGCTGACGGTGGAAGATGTCGGCTGGTGGGAGCCGCGACCGCACTATAACGCGATCATCGCAGACGATAGTCTCGCGTATCTGGGGACGTCATACTTCTGGCCAACACAAAGAAACATGATTCACCAAGGTCGATCGCTTGAAAATGGGGTTTTGCTTGAAGGAGAGGCTGTCAAGGTTTTGAGGAAGCAATTGGATGAATTGCGCGATCGTGCGTATACTAGTAGTGACAAAAGTGACAGTGATATAGCGTAGCTACGGGTTGAATCTCAACAGGATGGCGATTTTCTTTCGTGGGATGTTGTTTGTTCAAAGTTGAGGAGTGTCAGGACGCGTCTTCGTCAGCCAATCAACGTCTCGCTCATGGTAAAGTTCGCGAACCGGTGGCTGCTGGATTCAGTTTAGCGTATCAGTTTCGATTCAAGAATCACAAGCAAAACGAACAACAGGAGCCTAAAGGCTCATAAGCATTATGAAAATGATCGGGACAGCGAGTACAGTGCTATCGTTAATAATAGCACTTACTTTGTACCTGTATTTTATTGTCATTCCTAAGAGGAATTGCTTGCTTTCGAACGATAGTGATCGTGGGGAAAAACTGTAAATTCGGCGTAGTTTTTTGTTTCATCGATGATCTTCCAACCCTTCCAAGCTACACCTCACCTCAATTCTTCGTGAAAGATTCAAAGTTCAAAGCCAAATATCTACTAATAGTTTTTATTAAATAATCCCCACAATATTGGGGACGGTTGTCCTGTTTTCCATCGATCTGTTCTCCTGGTCGCAAGTCCAGCTACCCTGCAGAGATCATGGTCCGTGCCATGCCTGTTGACTCATCCACTGTTGACCGCACGAAACTCGTCATTCTGCCACTTCGGGTCTGCAACTAGACGAAGTCCTCTACCGGTCGCAACGTACTCGTCTCTTCAAGCGACGACAAAAATGTCACAACAGTCAGAAGAGCTTTCATCATGGCTGCGCATGATTCGTCATGGCTGCGTCCGCGTTTCAAAACATGCGCGATGAGACCTCAGATCGCGAAGCTCCTTCTCAAATATCGAGCCTCAGCAGCGGATTCGTATGTGACAATCATCAGAATGAACCGACTGACTCGTGGACTGAACATCGCATGGTGTCGATGCTAAAGGAAACGAGAGTGAAGACATCAGAAGCGGCAGCACCAGATCTCTCTCTCTGTTATGTTGCCATCGCGATGAACCATGGATATCTCGTTCAGCGCGAACTCAGGATCCTGCCTATGGCCTAACGAAGTGGACACAATAGCTTGAAGATATTCTCTTGAGCTGTTGCTTTCACTTGGGGGTTTGAAGTGAAAACCGCAGATAAGATGAACATCACAAGAGGTCGCAAAGGACATTACTAGGATCAACGACTTTTGTTGACGCAACAGCTCAGGCAGTCTCTCACATGGCCAACAACAAGAACAAGACCTCACACAGTGACTCAATGTCACTACCTTTCGAGCATCATCATATGATCCACTGAAAGCCGCCTCCCTGTTATCCTCTCAAGTATCAACCTTCATTCTTACGTCTACTCTTCGACCATCGATGCCGTCAAGCTCCGACATCAGGTTTATTGCAGTCGCTCTCCCCTCCACTACAGACTTTGAGTTCTTACTGACATGATACCTAGATACAATTCGGTCTAACTCGCTCTTCTCCCTTCCAATCCGGATCAACCCCTCAATCGATCGCAGCCGCATCATCGCCTCACGCACAAGTCCTCTCAACATCACTTCATCTTCTCGACCCCCTCTTTGACTGTCGACTTTGCAGATCTTCACTGTACAGAACCTTCAACTCATCGCCCTCAGTGAATCTCTGCATCTACCACGCTCCCTGAATACGGAACCGCTTGCTTCAACACTACATCACTGCCTTCACAATATCTTGGGCATCACCTAACGATAGATCGAACCTCGAAGCCACAGGAACCCTTTACGAACAGGATATCTTCCGAGGTCCTCTGTTCGTTCGTAACCATCAATACTTCTTCCTGTCTTCAACAAATATAAAGGTACATCAACCCTAAACTTATCACAAGTTTATGCTCCTCTCCTCTCACTTGCCCTAAACTCTTCTAACCTTCTCAAATGCAGCCTAAACTTAGGATACTGCTCCACCCACCCCTTTTCCTGCTCGCCTTTTGCTCATTATACTCTTAACCTTCACCCCATCATAAATTCTGCAAACGACTTAACTCCCTTCAAACAATTCTCCTCACTCCAGCCCACTCCTTTCGCAATCCATCATAACCATTGCCTTCGTCCTAACCTTAACATCATGAGTTCAGGTGATCTCATCATGCCGACCTCACCCACCAAGATCACCAGAGCCCGGCAAGAGCAATGGCTTGACCAACAATGGGGAGGCAAGCGTTGGCTCCTCGACGAGGTCCGCTCCGCGCATGAAAACCCCCCCAAGCAGAACGAACTCAGTGGCAGTGCAGTCGAGTCCCTGGTCAAGATCACTAAACTTGCGCAAGAAAAAGGCATCGAGCTGCCATCCCTGTGGAGTCAGGCCCCACCCTACAATGTCCTTTGGACCGGCGTTAGCCGGCATCCCAGAGAGTCTCTCCGGTTGACTAAGGAGATCGCGAGAGCCGCCCTCACTAACCTCAAAGCAATTGTGCGTTCTCAGAGTCCTCAAGAAGCTGGCGGCCCATCAGAGGGAATCACTTTAGAGTCCCGAGAGACTGAACCTGATGCCTGTGTGTACGTGGGAAGTGACCATGTTGAGAGCGACAGCAGCGATGATGACGACATTGAGGCCATCACTAAACCCATGCGAAGCCCAAGTGTCATCTTGGGTGGTTGCCCCGGGTCGCCAGTCAAATCGCCAACCAAGGTCGTGGGAAACAACGACAAGAGAACCTCTCCGATCTCCGCTTTCAGTTACCAGGAACCCCGAGAGCAGAGATCAGCTGTTTCTAACAACCCCTCTGAAGCCCGACCCCCACAAATGAACATTTCTCGTCATTTCACCCAACCACCAGCTGTCACTTCGTCTAAGCGCAAAAGAGAGAAAGAATCCAGTGCGATGAACCCACAGCGATCCACGAAGCGTGCCGAAACGTCTAAGGGAGAAGAAGAGGTGGTCGACCCAGCCACCACTATTTATAAGCAGCTCACCACCAATGTGAAACTCATGGATATCACACTCCAATTCCTGACCAAAGCTCTCGTTTCTTGGTACCCTTTGGAACAAGGAAAGGTCAAACTCCTCGACCCTCTCTGGTTCAAAGTTGACGGTACAACTGCTGGCCACAACATCAAGCTCGACGGGTATACCATGCTTTGCTTCCCGATCCATCATCAAAAGCCTAAGCATTGGACCTTGGCCATCGTTGAAATCGACCACGATGCGAACTCGATGGTACTCAATCACCATGACTCGACCGAGGGCAAAGACCGGTTCAATGCCGTGTGCGATAGCTTCCAGAAATGGAATGAGACCGTCGGACACAAGTTCCAGCTGCGATTCAACAATGTCACCGTCAGTTGCTCCTCCTGCCATAGAGACTAATGCTGACCTCTATCTATAGGCTTGCACTCCACAACAGGATAACATCAGCTGCGGAATTCACGTCCTGTCCTGTCTAGGACACGCCCTGAGAAACAAACCCTGCCCCAAATCGCTCAATCCGAATCGCCAGCGCAGATATCTCATCAAAAAGATCAAGGAATCTAAGTCTTACGACGGCGACTATCTCCTACAGGAAGTCAAGAAAGTAATTGAAAAGCAGGAGCATAGAATGCTAATGGAACATGTTCGAAAAAAGACGCCCGAGTCTCTCGAAACGGATAGACATCTTGCGGCTATTGCCGCAGACCGCGCCCGTGATGGCCTAAGAGATGCCCAGGCCACGCTGAGCCGCCTTCAAATCGAGCAGGACACTTTGGCCGAAGCACTGACCCGCATGGATGCTGCTGTAGAGATTAAATCCGAGCCCGTTCGTCATTTGAGCCTCGAACCCTTGGACCGCCTGCGAGGTGACAACCAAGATGCCCTTTCTGCCCACATGAGTCAATACAACAAGACGCTGATGGACCAGAGCTTCGCCAATGGGTCTGAGATAGGCAGAAAGATCCTTCACGAACATTACGAGGAGATCGTTGAGAAACTGAAGCAAACTGAAAAGGACATTGCTCAGAAACAGGAAGAACTTGATGAGGCAACAAAGGATGTGGATATCAAGGCTCAGATGTGTGACCTGAAGGAGAACATGGACACCGTTCTGAAGCTGAATGGGTCTTTCCTTTGGAACAATTGGTTTGAGCGGGCGTCGAACTAGCTGCCAAACCAAGGGAACTTGAAGCATGGTCTTGAGGAAGGCGGTGCACAAGAGTGGAAACCAGGTTCGGGTTGTGAATTAGACTGAGAAATTAGGCGTAAAAGCGATTTGTTTTTCGTTTATCTTCCATGGGTGTGAATCTACTGTGGCCGGCGTGAACCTGCGCGATCTTACGAAATGGAACATAAAGAGGCCTCCAAAATCGCTTGATACTTAGGTAATTAGGTCTAAAATTGTCTAAAGCTTCGGTAACTATTGCAGCATTCAATAAATATGACACAATCGAGTCTCCGACATCAGCCTTGGAGCTCTTGTACTGTTGGAGGGGACTTGGTTCTTTGGTCACCGACTTCAGGATAGTGCCTATATACCTGAGGATATTGTTGCTGGTAAAAGTGTGACTGAGAACCGTCTGGCGGACCTCCTGGTTGTGGGTAATGATACATCGGGGGATGCAAAGCAGCCGTGCTTTGGTCTTGATGCTTGGCTGTCTTTTTGCGAAGGAAGAGCCAGACCGATAGCCCGGCGATTATAGCAGCGGCTGGGATACCAACACCAAGTCCGATCTTCATGCCCTGACTGTTGTCGGTTGTCCCAGTATTCGTTTGTTCCGTACCGTTTGACGTGGGGCTTGGATCGGAGGATGTCGTCGTGGAAGCAACAGTGATTGTAGGTGATGCCGTCTGAGCTGAGGAGGTGGTCTTGACCAGAGATGCAGTAGAAGAAATCACGTCATCCTCAATGTTACCCCTTGAATCAAGGAAGACACCTCGTTTACCCGCGCAACATCCAGGATCGTCCTCCGAACAACAGTAGCTGCCATCTTCGCATCGTTTTACCCGCGGGAATCGGTTGTTCCTCTCCTCTAAAAGGGATGTTAGCCGGGTTCAGGACTACGTAATGTAATAGAAAAGGGGCCAAGGACGAACCGTAAAGACAAATGGCAGCACACTTCTTCTTATCATATGGTGCAACGGCACAAGGACCTCTCACGAATTCATTCTCTCCTTGTCCTTTGTTCTTGCAGAGTCGATTTGGCATGCAAGTTGCCCCCTCACCGCAACACGCTGAGGAACCTGGGCACTGTTTGTTGTTGGTCCACTGCTTGCCATCGACACCCCAGCACACACCCTCTTGAGCCATTACTGGCAGTAAAAGCGCGTAGGAAACGCTCAAAACAAAACTGAAATGCATATCTGAATTTGTAGAAAGATCTCGAGGCGAAGGAAAACCGAGTAGTCGATAGATGGTGGGAGCAGCATGAGTACTACGACTACGAGGGGAAGGCTTGTGCTTTTACCAACAGACATTATAAAAGCCAGTGACCGGGAACTTCTGTAACCGCCAGTTTTCAACACCCTGCTGGCTTGGCTGCATTTCCTGGGACAGTTTGAGCATTTCAATTGGATAGCATAGATAAGGGCTTGTTACAGGTCTGAATTCTTCAGTCACCTGTCTTGCAAGCGAATACTTCGGCAGATACTTCTATACTCATGGAACAAGAATCTAATGCCTGGCTTTTAGCTCCCTGATGGCCGACGTGAAGCCATATGAACCCAGCTTCAACATGTCTTGCCGGAGATATTTTGTTGTTAACAGATTCAGTTCCATACAGAGATTTAATACCGATACGTGGTTGAACAGTGAGTACAGGAAGAAGTAGCCTGATATCTGAGAGGATTAAAATTAGGATCTTTGAATTACGGCCAACACTTGAATCATGAGCCAACGAGCAGGCTGGTCTGACTGGGCAACCCGAGAGAGTTAGTTAATGATCAGCGAGTCAGGCCACTGAAGAAACTTTGGACCCCTGCATGACGAGGCAGGGATCATCTCAAGCTTTTGCAATTTCTCCACATAGCTGAACTCACGCATCTTGGCAGCATCTTATCGTTGATGACATTCAGATTCAAGATGAGGCGGATGATATCTGTATCAGCTATCACAGAGAACACAAAAACTTTAATTGGAAAAGATTGCGATGAGGAGAATCTGGGATTGCGAACTTCCTGAGCCAAGACTTTGCGTCAACGGGGGCGGCACAGCCTGATCCATGGTTGGCTTGTTGGTTTCTGTTCATTATGCTGTTGGTTGTACGCAATATGACATTCATCGGGTGATTGGACCATGACGGAAATCTCTGACAATACGAATCCAGGGGTGTCATCCTGACCCGCACGGAGGCTTAATTAGGTGCCGCTCACTGTGCTCTCCCATTTCCCATTCTCAATTCTTCATCACGTCACACGACCTTGAGCCTAAATCGACCATCTGTGAACATGTCGCTGGTATCGGCATTCATATTACGGCTCGGTCAAATGTTCAGGGACCCTCCTAGGGCCCTTGTGCGATTGGGTATCTTCGGCGGCCTTTCCCTTTTACTTATTCTTATCACCTGGAAGGGCTCAGCCAGCTTATCTTACAGCTGGACGCCACCAATCAGCGAGTCTGAGCTGAAGAACATCTCACAAAAGGCGAATGAAAACGCCGAAAGTCACGTTAAGGCCCCCTATAAAAATACCTTCTGGGAGGTCGGTCAACGATCACGAGAGTTGAGTCAATGGCTGTCAAAGTCTGACAAACTTGACCCGACTTCAAAAGTTGGGCGGCAGCTCCGGGATATTACGGAGATAACAGCCCAACAACTATTCCCTTTCCTTAAGAGTCCACCACGGAACCCGGGATCAAAAACGCCACTCTCTGACCTTCGACACTCTTTTGACAGAGGGTCCAGAGGAATTGTGATTCCTGTTGGTGGAGGAGAGCAATCAGTTCGCTTCGCTGGCCATTTAATAGTGAGCCTGCGCAAAGTGTTGGGCTGTCGTCTCCCCATACAGATTGTGTATGCTGGAGAAGATGACTTACCCAAAAAGGATCGCGACAGAATCGCAAAACTTGATGGCGCATCTGATGTTGAGTTTCTCGACATCTTCAATGTCTTTGATGATACTACACTGAGGCTCAAAGACGGAGGATGGGCCATCAAGGCTTTTGCTTTGCTTGGGTCGCACTTTGAAGAGGTCATCCTCCTAGATGCTGATGCTGTGTTCATTCAACAACCGGAAAGACTGTTTGCGCAAAAGGCATACATCGAGAAAGGAGCGTTGCTCTTCCACGACAGATTGCTTTGGCAACATGCATTCAAAGAAAGGCATGAATGGTGGAAGGACCAGATCAAGGAGCCATCAGCAGAGATGAACAAATCACTAGTATGGACAGAAGACTACGCTGAAGAATGTGATTCCGGTGTAGTAGTCCTCAACAAGGCGCGAGTAAGTACTCTTGTTGGCCTTCTACATGTCGCATGGCAGAATACATATGAAGTTCGAGAGGAAGTCACTTACAGGCAAGGTCACGGGGACAAGGAATCTTGGTGGCTTGGCCTTGAGCTTGGCGGGTCCAGCTATGAGTTTGAGTCGCATTACGGTTCAATGATTGGCTGGGGTGAAGGTAGAGGAGCAAATGTGACAAAGGTTTGTAGCTTTGTCATTGCTCATACTGATGAGAAGGACAAGCTCTTATGGTACAATGGAAGCCTGTTGAAGAACAAGCGGGTGGACCCAGATGGCTACGAAGTCCCAGAGTACTGGATGATGGATGGCAAATGGCACAAAGGAAGGACAAAGGACGATATGAGTTGTATGACTGATACGGAAGTACTGGAACTGACCGCGGAGGAGAAGCGTGTATTGCGGGAGAGCATTGGGATTGCTAAGAAGGTAGATATTGCCCTCAAAGGCACAGTATAGAAATATCATAGCTATTTTACTCTATCGATTGCGACAAAGGAGCATTAGTAATGATGTTGAGCACTAAGTAAATGTTGTTAGATCTGCCATACTGGAATGATTTAGTCATCACTCCTTTTGTGCTACGGACGGTGTTGGGCAAACGAAGAAATGCATTGGTGCCCAATAAGCTGAACCTGTTCTCATGAAGGGGGTGCGTCGATTTATCCTATTGATTGATGCTGAGAAAGCAGGCTGAGAGGATGACCACTAAAGTGCCCTGCAGCGTGCTGTAGATGTCCCAGGATCGATGGTATTGGCTCGTTCTCGCCCAAGGCATGCGCAAGGCATTCTATTGTGGCCATGTTTTATCGCAATGCCTCTCGCCCCCGCGAAGTTCTCTTCTTACTGTCACAACTTTCTAAATCTCACCAAAGGATACAATGACTGTACCTGCCTTCGGATTCTCCGCCGGCGACTTCGTTAGCGCTGTGAACTTGATCGTCGACATCACCAAAGCCTTGAAGAATACAGGCGGCGCTGCAGAGGATTATCTCCAAGTGTTGGCCGATTTGAATCTTTTGAAAGACGTGTTGTCGCACCTGCAGCAACAGCAGACCGGCGCGACGCGGCAGAGAAGCAGCAATCCTTTTGCAGAGCATGCGCGGAAACAAGCAGATCTCACTTTATCTACACTAGCAAACTTTCTCGACCTGATATCCAAATTCGATGCCAGCCTGGGTCACCAAAGATCGTCGGCGTGGTACCGCGGTGTTGGAAGAAAGGCGCAATGGGCTCTGGTCTACTCGAAGCATGTCGATGATCTGCGCTCAAGGATCGGGACACAGATTCAGACGCTGAACCTTGTCACTCAACTACAAGAGGAGTACTTAGACCTGTCGGTTACCATCCATCGTGTGCTGACTATGACGCAAGCAACAATAACGGCCTCGATGAGCTGAACAGCCAGCTCAACATTATCAGAGTCCAAAATGAACAGGTCATGACACAACTTCAAGAGCGGTATGTATTATCCAGGAGTCTACGAATATAAATGGTTTTGAACTTTTCTTGTAGCCGAATCATTAGTATCGAAGAACTTCGGGAACAACTAAGTCTGCTTGACCTTCGGGACGATGAGCATCAACCTGCTAGTGCACCTGAGCCGCCTCAAGTTATTGAAGAGCCTCAATCAAGTCCAAGTCATCAGCCGGTAGCAGTAGACTTGGAAGACTCCGCCAGACGTCCGACCAGAAGCCAAGTGGACCAACCCATTCAACATGAGATGACCAGCCTACAAGAAGAGACAACTCAAACCCTCTTACCAAAGCTGTAGGTAAATTCCAGGAAGTCTTACTTATCATGAACTAAACGCTTGTGGCCAGGCTTCGAGCTGTCACACGCGATTTGCACAATCTCATTATGAAGGCCTGGTTACTGTTTCCAGGGTTAATGAGACACTATTCTCGCCTGTGCACATCAATCTCTATGCCACCACTTCTAATAATCGCCGAGAATATCAGTTTTGAAGACGTTCTCGGGCGTCAAACGACGTTGCAGTATGACTTCTTCAGGCACTGGGCGGTATGTGAGGTTGCAGCGCCACGCTCACATGGTAGCTAACTATTAATCAGAATGTCGATATGTTCCTCAATAAACAGTTCGAGAACTGTCCAGGCCAACAATATATAGCCAAAAAGCAATATTTCTTCATCGGCGCAGATGCAACAACAAATAAGCTGAACTCTAATGTTGAGATTGCTTGGCAAACGATGGCCCGCCCTGGATGCCAAATTTCGATGTCCATAAAGATGATTGCAGAACAGAGGATCGCTTCAGAGGCCAAGTGCCCCAACCCTGGTTGTAAAGGACGTGCAGTCAAAATAGGTGGCGAGAAAACATTTTCATGTCAAAAGTGTGATCTGATGTACTCCATGCTACCCAGGAACTCTTCAACAGAACCTCCTGTCAGCGAAAGTAGAATTACGTCCAGAGTCTACGACTTAATTCCATACTGGCGACGGGCACAAGCTTCTGAAACAAATCAAGACATCGTCGGACTGGATCAGCAAATCACTTGCTTTAAGAAAGTCCACATATTGGCCCCTACGATGAACGAAACATCGACATTGAGAACTATATCCCAAGGGAAGAGTCCATTGCGATCGAGCAAGGCTAAGCGAAGAAAAGTATTTTGGGTCTGGACATGTTGCGGCTGTGGAAGTGATGGGATGAGAATAGTGGCGGAAGCTTGTCCTCGCTGCGGTCTTTTTCGCTGCCCCCATTGCAGTGTGATGAGAAAAGAGATACGGTAACAGTTGACATCTGGGTCTAGTGAAAGCATATCATGACGACATGCAGCTGCAAAATTGTGATTTATGTAGCGATAATAGAACAATCGAATCTTGACAAGATTAGGCGCTGAAGTTCGAGATTGATGCTGAGCGTGGGGGAAGTGACAGCAACGATAGTTGTTTCATACGATTGAAGCTCAAGGAGAATACAGGATCACACCCAGTTCTTGTTTTTATTCTAGTAACATCGCCTCTTGGGCTCTATTTTCGTAAACACAGACCTTGTTCCTCTTCAATGTTTACGAGCTATCAATCGTTTAAGCAAAAGTATTACTTACGCTAATGTGTATTTTTTCAGCCTCAACCTTGTGAGAGCAAACTGAATAGAAGAGAATCATCGTTGGAGATTGGCCCTTAACTATATTAGCTTACTGTACCATGTTTCCATAACTTTATTGCTCAGCGCGCGGTGACGAGATATGTGATTCGCTGATTCGAAACGCTGAAGCCGTAACAGTGCCAGGCCTATTGCGTTACATGCTCTGGCCCGTTATTTCAGACGAGTTAATGACCGGTGTCAACGCTGACCTTCTAAATTTAGTACGTGTCTCAGCAGGGTCTGGTCCGTGTAAGCAGGGTCGCGGTGCCAGTGGGTGAACCGGCAGTGTCCGAAAGTGGTTAAACACCGCTCCACTGTAGTTTGATCCGACACAGGCAGTGCTACGGTACTGTAAGTCCCGCTTTCGGGGGCTTGCCGCATATAGATCGCATGTCATGGCTTGGCCCTCAGGATCTGTCTGTTCAATTAAAGGGACGCGATATATAGAGTCTATTGGCATAGAATTTGTGGGTTGGTTATCTTATTGGTGTGTCGTCTCTTTTGGTGTCTAATTCGATCCTCCCAAGCTCACTACTGGGATACAATTCATCGACCATGGACAGCCTCAATTCAATCTCTCTCGAGCGTTTAGTAAGCCCCTCAGCGCTGCTTGGCCTCACTGGAGTTTGGCTTGGTTATCGTGTCGCGCTCGCGCTCTACAACATATCCCCTCTGCACCCACTCTCTAAATTTCCAGGCCCAAAAATTGCTGCCGCTTCGTATATATATGAAGCTTATTATGACTGGATTCTCATGGGTCGGTATGGCAGGAGGATAGAGAAGATGCATGAGCAGTATGGTGAGTACTTGACGAGGACTTCCTAATAAAATTGAAGTAACTGATAGTTGTTGAAGGCCCAATCGTGCGCGTCAGCCCCGATGAGCTTCATTGTAGTGACCCCTACTTTGCCGACGAGATCTACACGGGGAAGCCAGGTAGAAGTATGTCCATTCAACTGCTCGGCTCGGCTCAATGAAACTATTCCGCTTACAATTCTTCCAGTCCGCGATAAATGGCAACACCACCTCAAAATTGCAGGCGCTGGCCCAGTCTCAATGGCAACCGGCACGGCTGGACCGCACGAGCTACATCGCAAACGTCGCGCTGCCCATGCACGTTTCTTCTCACGTGGACAGGTTCTCAAGCTCGAAGACGAAGTTTACAACTACGCTAAACTTGCTATTGAGAAAATGCTCCGCTGGACCGGCAAGGAGGCATTCGAAGTAAAGGGTGCCTTCAACTGCTATACTGCCGATGTCTTCTCCCAGTACGCATTCGGAGAGCCAATGGGCTTTATCAAGCAGGAGGGCTGGGAGCCCAACTTTGGAACTTGGACCTCGTCCTTCTTGACAACCACATACATGAGTACGTTCAGAGAGAGTCCTTTTTACTGTTTTGTTTTGGTCGCGTCTCGCACGTACAGATATGTCTGCCTGAGATGCTTCGTTGTATATAAAGCAGAAACATATTCTTGGTCATGAAGTGCATTTCAACTAGGCGGTTATGCTAATGATGTGGTGGATAGTGCGGCACAACGGGTTTGCCAGGCGACTGGCCGATATCCTCCCCATTTTCGCGGATTATATGGGTGATGATGTCAAGAGGATAATGCACCAAATGCATCATGTTATCCCAGCCTATATCAAGACTGCCCTAGCAAATCCCGATGGCGGCCGTGTCTTTAACGAGATTCTAAACTCCAACGTCCTACCAGAGGAAGAGAAGAGCATTTACCGTCTTTCGGGTGAGGGATTTGTCTTTCTTGTTGCTGGAACGGAAACCACTGCGGTCAGTTTTGATACCATATTGGACAGGTCGAATTGCTGTGACTGACCGAACACAGGCTATTCTCACCGTTATGACGTTTCACCTTCTTCACCAACCCAAGATCTATGCTCGTCTGATGAAAGACCTCGAAGGCATTGATCCAAACAACCTAAAATGGGCACAGCTTGAGCAGAGACCATACCTCTGGGCCCTTGTTCAGGAGTCTCTACGACACCAGCCTGGGGCGGCCGCACGATCAGCTCGTATCGCCCGTGAGGAGGAACTCTACTATAAGAGTCAAGATGAAAAGACGCAATTTGTGATCCCCCGAGGTACACCTGTGAGCATGACGGCCATGATCAATCACTGGGACACGCGGTTGTTTCCGGACCCTGACGCTTTCAACCCTGACCGGTGGTTGCTACCCGACGGCAAGCCTGATTATACGCTGCAAAAGTTTCTTATCTCGTTCTCGAAGGGATCTAGAGTTTGTGTTGGTGAGAGGTGAGTCTTATCCTTATTCCCCGGTTTCAACTGCGGAGAATTTCAAAGTCGTAGTCTTCAGGCTAACAGATGTGTCTTACAGTCTTGCGCTGTGTGAGATCTATATCATGGCCACTCTGATGGCTTTTCGAATTATCCCGAAGGCTGAACTTTTCGAGACTACGATTGAGGATCTCACGTATGACCATGACCTGGTGGTTTTGCAGACGAAGAAAGGACACATATCGACTCGCATCAAGATCACATGATATGCGAGAGCCCATCCAAAATTCGGTTTCCCATGAACTATGTTAGAGAGCGTTATAGCAATTTCTACCAGTATGGATTTGCAAACCATGAATGTTCCTTCGGCACTTCGTCCATCCTGCAAGACTCACCGGAGGTGTTTTCTCGTACGTCAACAACATCTATTTAGCTCTTTTTCAATGGCAAATTCTTAGCCAAGGAAAGGAATGACCTTCATGGTACCTAGGCAATGGTTTAAGACTGTATACAAGAACTACTAAAACTTAGAACTAGAAAACAACAAAGATACATGAAACTGAATTCGAAATATTTCGAAAGTATAAGCTCTTTGTAGTAACATGAGCCCATAGCAACAATAGTAAATAGTGCATATAGGTTGGGTGGTCCAAGTGTTGGGTTCGACCAGGTCAAAATCCCTCGCCCTTCTGCAACACATATACCGCCAGATTTACCCAAGGCGGCTGTAGGAAACCAATCGTATTTTGTCCATGTCTTTTAATTTCTGTTATCGCCGTAATCTCAAAAAGAACTAGCATGTTACAGAGGCAATACAGTTTGCATGTCACATGGGATTCGGTGGTGCGTCTTGGCGTGCTTCAACGCCCTGAAGTCGGTAGGGTAGGTATCTCGTTACATTCTTGTATAAGTTACTAAATCTCTCTAAAGCTGTCTGAATTTATCCTAGTTCGTAAATATGCCAACCATCCATGCCAAGGCCTCCTCTAGTCCGAGCTGTTCTTCAAGGAGTGAGGGTGAGCGGTCCTTGTACACCTGCAACTCCAGGCTATGACAGCAGTCAAAGCTATAGCCTCACTGTTCAGTCGATCAGGATGCTCGTATTCTTGGCCTATGGGCCTGCGGCTCCTGTTGAATAAGTATACGCGGCTTCGCGTTCTCCATCAGGTATGGTCTCTGACGAAGGACTTCCCTGAAGTAGCTCGGCCGGCCATCTTCCTCGACCAGCTCCAGGAGCCGGTCTGCTTTGAAGTCGACCGTCAGGCCGCTAAGCCATTCACCATCGGCCATCAGAACAACGCTGCAATGCCATGGTGTTGTGAAACCACTCTTGGTGTTGAGCAAGCTCAAAGAGATCTTGTGCTCCCCAGTGGACTGGTGGATGCTAAGACGCAAGTGGTTCGGGAAGCGTGCTTTGACGGCTCCTGCAAAGGCCTATTCGCAAGAGAGATTCTATTAGCAACAGAAACACGGGCGGGTATAAAAATGAACTGGGAACTTACATATCCACGGATCAGCATCTGCTTGGCCAGATATTTAACATCCTTCCTGTACTTGGCACTGCTCTTGGCTGGGCCGAAAATGTGCTGCAGATCTGACTTGAGAAAGCGGCAGTACCCCTTATACGTCCCGAGAGTGTCCGGATTTACGGCGATTTCGTGGTCAATGTCAAGATCGCCGTCCCGGCCATACTTGTTAAACAGGGTCCGGCGGAAGTTAGTTGCGTTGGCCACGTACGTGAGCTCATTAAGGTCATTCGGTAGACCCTTCACTGCGACCAAGTCCTGTAGACGGGAGAATGAGAGATGAGAGAAACCCTTCCTCTCGGCCATTGTCCGTAGCGCCGACCCATAGCGCCAGGTCTCCTGATCGGAAATGCCCAGTAAGTCTAGATGAAGTATCAGTGATGTGCCGGTGGCTGTGAGAGACTTCACCCTGTTTCCAGGGAGGGATGCAGAGGATAAACGTACCATTGTAAACGAGGCCGTCCGAGATGACAGTCAGCTCCGCCCCGGGCTCATAAAATTGGCCAATGGTGACACATATGGAGTTTAGTCTTGCAAGTGCCAGCTCTTCAGCCTTATCGGGGAGGTTACCCAGCACTTTTTCGACCTTATTTGCTGACTTGAACGGGAATGCCGGGAGACACATCACTACCTTTTGCCGTGCCCTAACAAAGCGTGAGACGACGGCTAGGAACTTGGGCCTGCCGGCGCTATGAAGTTCCTCGGTGGTGTCGAATTTGTGAAGCGAGTATTCTAGAATTACATCGAGAATTCTGTTGGAAATCTCGGAGACTTTGGTCTCTTCACAGTCTTCCGTTTTTTCATCTGAGGCGGTAGGGCACGTCATCTCGCTCGGGACACTGGAGCGGGAAGATCTCGTCGACATGGTGTCGTCGAAAGAAACGTCTGATCCAGCTATGGTTACAGCCGGTGTCTTCAGTTTCAAGACGTCGGAGGGGTTTTGATGATCAATATCGATAGACATAGTGACCAAAGCACATATGAGTGGTATGATAGAAGATTAAATGATAGCTGATAAACATGCGATAAAGATGAAGCGGAGGTGTCGCCAAAGTCACAATCTAGAACAAGCTGTACATATAGTGTCACGCACAACACTGATCCAATTGGGACAGATGATCCAATGTAAGAGGCCTTGATCCTTCACCAAAAAAATCAACAGACATGCTCAGCCTTAATTTATCCGGGAGAATGCCAGAAGAAGGAAGACGATGTCTACCTCACTCCAACCCAAGTGAGGCAAAGCCCGCCATTGTCATTTGGTAGGTAACATATGCTAATTCAATGCCGGGCACTGCACTAGGAAGGGAACTTGTGGCTTGGTAAGGCGGACGCTAGGAGAGCCAGGCCGCCGCAAAAAGCTCACAGGGGGGTCAACGGGCCGGGACATTGCCGTTTCAGGTCCGCTGCCGTTAACTACCTTACCTTACAGCGTCTGAGGTGAGATGGAAGTGGATCGCGACAGGACCCCAGTACAGAAACAGGGGTTGTTCTTCAGACCAAGGTACCTAAGCGCCCGCCCCCAATCTCAATTATCGAACAGTCTGTGCTGAGACCTTCTGTTGTGTCACCCAGAAACAGGATTTCTCCTCTTTCTCCTTCTCTTTTCTCTTCTGGCTTACAATCTCACAATTGCATCCCCTCATCGCTTACCCGCCACCTGAAGAAGCCGGTCTTCTCAGCGCCCCTCTTAGAAAACGACACCCCCAGCACTCAGGCTGGTTAGTCAGTTACGGTGATCTGACGGCATCCTGAAGATCCATTTAGCGTCCCAGCTGGTAAACTAGTGCCCTGGCGCACTTGCAAGGCCCTCCACTATCTCCACGACCAAAAGCCCCGCGAATTGCTTGCTGTCGCTGTCGCTGTCATTGCCGCTGCGATGGGACAAACCTATATGCACCTGCCAGAAGATGGGGATGGCGGAAATGCCAGTGCTAGCAGGCTTCTAGCGCCCACGAGCGCACATCTCGCAACAACCACGCTGCAGGTCGGCGGCATGACGTGAGTCGCTAACTCCTATTTCGTTCATTTCGCTCTCTGAAGCTAACATTGTAACCTCAACAGATGCGGTTCGTGCACTTCAGCCGTTGAATCAGGCTTCAAAGGCATTGATGGCATCGGAACAGTCTCCATCAGCCTCGTAATGGAGCGCGCCGTCGTCACGCATGACCCGGAGATCATACCCGCCGACAAGATACAGGAGATCATTGAGGACCGTGGTTTTGATGCTGAGGTTCTCTCGACCGACCGTTCCAACCCCGCGACTACTCGATTGAACCACGTCTTGGACCAGAGAACTGCGATTGGGGGCGAAGATGAGTCTGCGATGACTACTGCGACGACCACTTTTGCCATTGAGGGCATGACGTGTGGCGCTTGCACGTCCGCCGTTGAAGCCGGCTTCAATGGCGTGCCTGGTGTGCTCAAGTTCAACATTAGTCTTTTGGCGGAACGAGCCGTCATTACTTATGATGAGACGAAGCTTTCGCCGGAGAAGATAGCCGAGATTATTGACGATCGCGGATTTGATGTTACTATTCTATCAACGCAGCGCGACTCGATCCATCAGGCAGGAGATACGACAACCGCTCAGTTCAAGGTCTTCGGCTGCAAAGATGCGACTACTGCCCAGCTTCTGGAGGAAGGCCTCATTGCAGTCCAAGGCATCCGATCCGCATCTATCAGCCTCAGTACGGACCGCCTGACAGTCGTCTACCAACCCCGGACTATAGGACTTCGTGGCATTGTTGAGGCCATAGAGGCGCAGGGCTTGAATGCCCTCGTTGCAAGCGGCGAGGATAACAACGCGCAGCTTGAATCGCTGGCAAAAACGCGCGAGATCACTGAGTGGCGGACAGCGTTCAGGACGTCGCTTGCCTTCGCGATCCCCGTTCTTCTCATCGGCATGATTATTCCTATGGCTTTCCCAATGATAGACATTGGACGTTTCGAACTCATACCGGGTCTATTCCTGGGTGACATCGTATGCCTCGTTCTCACTTTGCCTGTTCAATTCGGGATTGGCAAGCGATTCTATATCACTGGGTACAAATCTCTTAAACATAAATCGCCAACAATGGATGTTCTCGTCGTTCTCGGCACATCGTGTGCCTTCCTTTTCAGCGTCTTTTCTATGCTCATCTCAGTCCTTCTTGAGCCACATTCTAAACCTTCCACAATCTTCGACACATGCACCATGCTCATCACATTCATCACACTGTCTCGGTGGCTCGAGAACCGCGCCAAAGGCCAGACTTCTAAGGCGCTGTCTCGTCTGATGTCATTAGCTCCGTCCACAGCTACCATTTATGCTGATCCTATCGCTGTAGAAAAGGCAGCAGAGAGCTGGGCAAAGTCATCTGACGAGCCCCCAGTGCTCAAGACTCCTCAGACTCATGAGCCTGGCATCTCTGCTTGGGAGGAAAAGGTCATCCCAACAGAGCTGCTTGAGGTTGATGACATTGTGGTCATCCGGCCAGGCGACAAAATTCCAGCAGATGGCATTCTTGTTCGAGGGACAACGTTTGTTGACGAAAGTATGGTTACTGGAGAGGCTATGCCTGTTCAGAAGTACATTGGCGATAGTATCGTCGCCGGGACTGTTAACGGCGACGGGCGCGTCGATGTCCGTGTCACTCGAGCTGGCCACGACACGCAGCTAAGTCAGATTGTCAAGCTAGTGCAAGATGCACAAACTGCCCGTGCCCCCATTCAGCAGCTGATTCATACAATAGCCGGCTACTTTGTTCCCATGATTCTTATCCTAGGTCTTGGTACGTTCCTTGTATGGATGGTCCTATGTCATGTTTTATCTCGACCTCCGGAGATCTTCCTTGAGGATAACAGCGGCGGCAAGGTCGTAGTATGTGTTAAGTTATGTATCTCCGTCATTGTCTTTGCTTGTCCGTGTGCTCTTGGGCTGGCTACGCCCACAGCCGTGATGGTTGGTACCGGAGTGGGTGCAGAAAACGGAATCCTGATCAAGGGAGGAGCTGTCCTTGAACGTATAACCAAGGTCACGCAGGTCGTCCTCGACAAAACCGGCACAATTACTTACGGTAAGATGAGTGTGGCTAGGACAGGTCTTGTCCCGCAATGGAAAAGAGACGAAGCTAGTAAACGACTGTGGTGGTCCATTGTCGGCCTGGCCGAGATGGGGAGCGAACATCCCATAGGCAAGGCTATCCTAGGCGCTGCAAAGAATGAGCTCGGTATGGCGCCTGAAGGAACCATTGATGGCAGCGTCGGAGACTTCAAAGCAGTTGTAGGCAAGGGTGTCAGCGTAACTGTCGAGCCAGCTGCCGCCAACCGGTCACGATATATGGTACTGGTTGGCAACCTCATATTCTTGAAGGATTGTGACATTGATGTCCCCGAGGATGCTGTCGAGGCCGCAGAGATGCTTAACCAGTCGGCTGGTGAGGGCAAATTGCAAGCCAAGAGCGATACCAGCAGCGCTGGAACCACCAATATCTTCATTGCCATTGATGGCCTTTACTCGGGCCATCTGTGCCTGTCCGACACAATTAAAGAGGACGCTGAAGCGACTATCTCGGTCTTGCACCAACTGGGGATAAAGACCGCTCTAGTCACCGGCGACCAACGAACTACCGCACTCGCCGTCGCCTCTGCCGTGGGTATCGACTTCAATAATGTTTACGCCGGTGTTAGCCCCGATCAGAAGCAGGCTATCGTACGAGAGATCCAGGACCGCGGCGAGGTTGTCGGCATGATTGGTGATGGCATTAACGACTCCCCAGCGCTTGTGACGGCAGACGTAGGCATAGCTATGGCAAGCGGAACAGATGTCGCGATGGAGGCGGCAGATATGGTCCTTATGAGACCGACAGAGCTTATGATCATACCTGCCTCACTAGCACTCACACGCACCATCTTCCGCCGGATCAAAATAAACCTTGGATGGGCATGCATCTATAACGCTATCGGCCTCCCGATTGCTATGGGTTTCTTTCTTCCATTCGGACTTAGCGTACATCCTATAATGGCGAGTCTTGCGATGGCGTTCAGCAGTGTGACGGTGGTAGTCAGCAGCCTGATGCTCAACTCTTGGACAAGGCCTGTTTGGATGGACGAGATGGCGAAGAACGGTGGCAGGGAGCCCAAGGCGGAGAGATGGGTATGGGGAAGGGGAATTGTCGTGCGGGTGAAGGAGCTGATCGGACGCAGAGGTAAGGCGGAGGAAGTTGGGTATGTGCCCTTACAGAACATAGAAGGCTGAGGTTGTATATGATCACTGTCTTGATATATATTGGAATAATTTGCTTGACGAGAATATAACATAAGGAACTGATACATTTACATATCCTTTTCCTCAAACAGTCACGTCCATGCTGTTGAGACAAGGCTCGAAGTGCAAGCATAAGCTCTCAGTTCCTTCAACTCAAAGTAACACTCCCAAAGCACTATTAACGCAATGGACCAACTATCCACATAACTGCCTTATATACCATACTACTAACGATTCGATCTGGAACCTGTTCAGCTCTGAACCTAAGTGATTTCAAGATTAGAACGCGGCGAATCAATGGGCGATTTGTTTCCTTAAGTAAGCAGGTAAAACAAAACTATAAGTAGGAATATGCATATGCGCTCAATATATCCGAAATATCAGTCTAACTATCCTGCTGTTCTACCATCATCGTATTCCGATTCTCTCTCAATCTTACAACGCTGCCATCTTCTTTGGTATAAGCAACTCCCTCGTTTTCCTGACCCGAGCACCATCCTCCTTACTCTTGAAATACCTGCCTGTCTTGTAGCTCCAGAGCAGACTGCCGAGGGCATGGTTCTTCTCGACCTCGAGATAGCCAAGGAGCGCACGATCGGCCTCCTCCCCGAAGCATGGGAGCTCTGAGAGTGCTCTGTAATAGCGTCTGTAACAGTTGTTGATCATAACTCCGACCTCATTTATGGCCTGCTGGGTTGAGAGGCCCTTGGCCTTGAGCAGGCGGACCATATTGTGATCAACCCCAAGGCGAAGGTCCTTTTCGTAGGAGAGAATGTCGTTGACTAACAGGATCTGATCGCTCATGATAACCATAATTTCAAACACCAAAGGGTGATCCGCTACATCCTCGGGCAAATCAATCCCATAAGCCCACTCATTGTTGACAAGCGCAGGATAGGCGCCCAGAGAGCCACGGCGCATGGCCAGGTACTCTTCCGGACCACGTGTGAAGGATCGACCCTCCACATTCGTCCGAACCTGTGCGACCAGTCCCTCCCAGTAGAGTTCGTGTGCCCACATCCAGCGTCTGTAGAAGCGGTCTGATGATGGCTTTCCCGCGTAGAAACCCTCAGGGCTTTGCTTGACGCGATCGCACAATGTCTGGAACACATAGCGAATAGGGTGTTCTGAGTCGGCGGTATACCGCGGGGCAGTACCCTCCATGATCTCACGTGTCCTGGCAATCTCATTTATGGCGCCATCCAGGTCATTGGACAAGTGGCCTTCATCGAACTGGTCATCGAAGAGGAAGGCCCATGAGTTCCAATCGGCTGACGTACGTAGGGCGAATGCGCTGCAGTCGGGAGCCCAAATGCTTGCAAGATAGGTGAAGTCAACCCGTTTGTTTCTGCTGGCCCACTTGGCATCGGCGTTGATCACGCTTTACACCGTCAGTCAGGGTGAACTTGGCTAAGAGTTCTGTTCGATGCGCGGGTTGTGACTTACGAGGAAATCCACTCGTCAGCGTCGGCTTTGACGCTGGCATAATGGGGGTTCTCACGGGCTGGAACCGACATGAGTGAGCTGAAGAGGTCGGGAAGGATGAGAACCTCCATCTCGGCACGATCTTGGAATTGGTCATGGTCAGGGACGTTGTGCACCCCGTTACCGTTGGCCATTCTGGATTTTACCTCATGTTTGGTGTTGATGTGAACCTCGTCCCCATTCGTCATCTCGGACTCAGAACCACTATCGAATTTGACCATGATATGATGCCACTCTGTTGTTAGATTTGGATGTTCTATGCTAAATGAGTTATCTCTAGTCAAGTTCATAAACGCGTCTGGAACTCTTCAATGCATGAAAGCATCATCTAATGCAGCAGCAGATCTATGGTGCATTTAAGGCGTGGCGTTTACCAACGATCTACTCAGGCAGGCTGTGGCTCTGATGTCTCGATTGGGAAACACGCCGCCTCTACGGAAAAGGAATGAGAACGTTGTGAAAACGTTCATGTGCCGGCACTAGCAACGAATTCCTCCGTTTGAGGCTTGATCCGGTTGCTTATTTTCAGTGCCGGACAAACCCCCGAAAGGCCATAAGCAATAACACTCCGGTCAGCTGACGTGAGCCTGAATATGTTCCGTTTTGCATGGTCCTTATCAGTCCCTTGCGACGGGACTTGCTCGTATAGGAAGTCTAGACGGGAAAATAAAAATTCACCCTAAATCAGTGGATCGCTCATGAAGTTTTGTGTAAGCTAAGCTCATCAAGGGTCCTGTATTCTTCCCCCAGAGGCGCAGTGCAGAGCGATACGAGCAGGAATGCACCTAGGGAGTAGTGCTTACATCTGAACCCCTGTATCTTCAGCAGTGGAGCTCGGGTCCCTGTCGGTCCCGGTCCAAGAAGACACTCGATTGGCCCCGGGGGAAAAGGCCTCTACAGGCAGCGGGAAGCCTACTGAAATCGAGAGATTCCCGTCTCTTGAGGGAGCAAACGCGCTGATATCAGATTGGTGAGATTAGGCCCTCAGCACCCCTACATCGGCGACCTACTGCCGGATCCAGGGGTTCAGGTGTACTGAAGCCGAAGATGACTGGGGCGGGACATGGCACTCAACGGGTGGCCCCGCAACCCTTGGGGGCCAGGGACCATTCAGGGTTCGGGGTCTAGAAGGATGGTTCATAGGGAATCTGGAAGGTGAACATGATCTGCATGCACGTTCGAAATCGCGCAGGACAGCTTGAGGAACCGTGCTCCGACTTTCTTTGATAATCCTTTGCAATCTGCAACCCAGTATATCGCAATGTAATCGTAAGCTCGACTAAGGATACAGGGGAGAGGCGTGGAGAACGCATGCATGCATGGGTAGGACGATAAAGTTTACCAGTGTCCGCTGGTCTACAGTCACAGTCATTGCCTGATCCAGCATATTACATATACTGCTGATCCTGTTGGTTCGACAGGTAATTTATCCAGCAATTCTGAGGTACCTGAACTGGAGATCAACATGTTTAGTACCCTACGACAAACGTTTGGTGATGGAGACCGACTTCTCAGCGTGGAGATTGCCCCGCCCTTTGACAAGGACAGGACGTCCATGCGCACTGCGTGTGAGAGGTGCCGTGCACAAAAGGTAGGTCACATCGCAGCCATTCACGTTCATCATCACCATCCAGTCGGCGAGTCTTGATTGATAAACCGTAGTGACCTCTATTTCATCTTCACTTGACGACGACGAGACTGATTTGATGTTTGCGTTGCCTTTAGTCCAAGTGCGTGAGCGGTGAGAACGGCTGTATGCTATGCGTTGCCAAGAACCGGAAATGCGAGTACTTGGTCATCTCAAGGCCCCAGCGGCGCACGTCCAGCGTCGCTAGTGGTGGCTCAAAGTCACGGAACGATGAAGATGACGATGAAGACGACGACAACACCAACACAGTCGCCAACCAACACAAGCAGGCTCAACAGGCAAGGAGACACAAACGCCGGTCTCGAGCGCAGTCTATGAGACAATCGTCGCCATTATCGACACATATGTCATCCCCCAAAGACCAATCAAGGGTTGTAACAACCTCCCAGCCCTCACTTCAGGACAACAGCAACAATATCGCAACAGGGCCAGACGTGGGCCTAGAAGAGGCACAGCAACTGTTTCTCGACACCCTCTTCCCAGACTCCTTAGGGCAGATACCATCTGTCTTTCCACAGTTCGACCCGGACTTCTTTGGCAGCATGGCCGGCGTTACGCCCACGGCTACCTCAAAAAGTCGGGAAGGCCACAGCGGTGTTGGTGTTACAGCCGAAGCGTTGACTGCTCGGGGAGATAGCAGCAAGCAGAGCAATCACACATCGGTGTACTCGTCGTCGTCGGCAGATAGCCTGTTCGAATATGGGATTGACCCGATGGACTTTCTGATGGATGAGTCGCGGGTTTCTACAACCCTGGCTCCAAGCGGTGCCCATGACCCTAAAAGGATCACAACCGAGCCTCGGCCTGCTGCGACTCATTCCTCTACACCACCAGATTCAGTTGCTACCTCCACTTCTTCATCTTCACCTTGCTGCTGTATGATGACAGCCGTGAGCATCTACGAGGCCATGCAGTCTCAGCTCGTCTGGGGCGATCCCATGGCTGGCCCATCGGCGGCATCAACTCCCAGCTCTACGTCAGCGGGCTCTTCATACTCGTCTGGCCCATCTTGGTCAGGGTCAGACTCAGGGTCAGGCGCAGGAACAGCCGCGACAACATATCAATCAACTTCGCCCCTCATGACCCAGCAAACGATCCTGAAGCGCCAGAAGATGATACTACTTCGCTGCGACTCTCTTGTCCAGTGCGGCACCTGCTGGTCGCGTCCGGACTTTGTCATGCTTATAATGACTATGTGCGATCGCATTTTAACAAGCCTGGAGGCGGTCGAGCGTTTTGTTTGCAACAGAAGCGACGATGACATAAACAAGGTCAGTTCCAACGGCACCGCTGCTGCCCTAGACATGCAAGTCATGGCAAGGCCGTTGCGCCCGGGGCTAGAGGTGTCATCCCTGTCCCGATCGTCCCAGATGCTGCAGCCTGGGGTGGGTGCATGGCAGATCGACGACGACGATGAGATGGAACTGGTTATTAACCTGATCAAGTCCCGCGTGACAAGACTCGGCAATCTGATCACCATGGCTGAGGGGACAATAAGTGCAAATGCATGGCCTTGGCATGAGAGGCTAGTCCAGGCTCTACGGAAGAGATCTAACAAACTTCTCATCTCCTTGTCATTTCGCCACTTTTCTTAAGGCCTTATTCTATTATGAAACGAGTTGCATGGAGTTTATTAGGATTGGGAAAACGGACTACTCCTGCAATAGACAAGCAAGGAGCAATCATTTTCGGTAGACTATTGAGAGAGACACGTCAAATGCAAAGAAATGGGAACTATACTTGTTCACAGCAGTTATACAAGTACAGCGATATACAACATCGAGACCTCACAGAGTTTTAAACGACCACGAGATGATCTAAAGTGACGTGTTCTGTGTTCTGAGTCGGGCCTCTGTGA